GGAAATCTTTCTTGTTTATTTTTGAGAGAGCTCTTGATTTTCCGGCCAAATTTCCGGTCATCCCCTTCAAAGTTTTGGTTGCCAACGTTCCTACGTTGTTCTTGTTCGTTGGTGTGTGGTTGGTCCGTACAATCTCCACACACGATAGCGGTTTTATCCTGGGAGGAGAGTGCCCACGTTTTTCCGGTACGGTAGGCGGGCACTACTACCTTAAGGACAGCTCCGGCGACTCCGCTGTCCTTCACAGTGTTTTGTTTTGCAGGTTTAGTTCATAAAGACCTCGCTGCATTCTGCCCTAGTGCATAATGTCCTCGCAGCCCAGTGCATAATGTCCTTGCTGTCCAGTGCATAATGTCCTCGATGTCCAGTGCTTAATGTCCTCATACAACAAGGCTGTTTGAAGATATATAAATTTATTTTCAATTCTGTTTATCTTGTAATATTCTGAATAAAATATAAATTCAGAATTTTATTTATTTTTATTTTCCGAGGCCGTTCATCTTCCCCGTCCGTTGTAATCCGTACAAGAATTGTAACAATCTTAAGGTAGTAGACATATCCGTGCGCAATGGCGGGTATGGACGGATTCGGTTTTGACGCTCACACCGGAAACAGGAGTAGTTCCGAGACTCCGGTTGTGAACGTTTCGCCTGGATTGGGTGGCTCTGTTGGGAAGACCACTTCGATCAACATTCCTTTCGGATCGAGTGCGGCCATGGGGTCCACTCCGATCACCACCTTCGTTGGATCGAGCGTGACTATGGGGTCTGCTCCGGTCACCTCGGTTATTGAACCAACCGCGGCTACAGCCGCAATGGTCACCCCACTCGGACCGAATATGGCTTCAGCCATACCGGTCATTCCCTCACTTGGATCGAACATGGGTGTCTTCACATCCGCACCGGTCGGACATCCTACTGTTATGCTGCCTGCGAACTCTGTCAAAGAACCGGCAAAGTTCACAGGTGTTGGTTTTAAAATATGGCAGCAAGGATGTTATTTTGGCTGACCACCCTCAACCTTGCGAGGTACTTGAGGGAGGATCCCCCTGTTGTGGGGGAGAACGCAGACGAGCCAACAGTTCAGGCCAATGTGGTGGAGCATCCACTCAAAGAGGGTTCTTCTAAAGGGCCTACGCCAAACAAGAACAAGAAGAAAATTGGTCCTAAAGGAGGCTATTTTATCTAGCAATTATTTGTTAAATAAAATAACCTGAAAGAAACTCGTTAAGACTCCTTACGAGTTGTGGTATAATAGGAAACCTTTCATATAAATACCTGAAAGTGTGGGGGTGCCTTGCAAGAGTTTTAGCACCACCACCAAAGAAAATAAAGATTGGTCCAGAGACCGTTGATGAAATCTTTATTGGCTACAGTGGTAGCGCGTATCGATTCTTAGTGTATAAGTCTGATAATCCAGAAATACATAAGAACACGTGCAAAGAGTAACATGTATAATGGTAAGTCTAGACATATTCGTCGTAGACACAAAACCATTAGACAACTTCTCACAACTGGGATTATTACAATTGACTATGTGAAGTCAAAAGATAATTTGGCGGATCCGCTAACCAAAGGGTTAACAAATGAGTTGCATGAGAAGTTGGTGGCAGGAATGGGTTTGAAGCCCTTGTGCTAGGAAAGTCCTATGAAGGAAACCCAACCTGGCTGGTACCCAGGTTCAATGGGACAACCTACTTGTAGGATGAAGCGTTGTCACTGTGGGGGCGGTACCAGAACCTTCGGTCAGTCCCTTCTGTTCCTGCTGAAGACAGTGACTCCCGAAAATGATGAGGTTAGCATATAAATATGCTTTAATGATTCTTAACCAATAGACACGGTGGTCTAAGGGGAGTAATCGGGATACTCTTAAAGAATCACCTATGTAAGAGTGAAGTGTGGTCGCTTCAAACGGAGGATCTTGGGCTTAATCCTCTAAACACTCTCGCAGAACCAGGCGCGTTCCCACGACCAAAATGGGCACAACCATGAGAACAGAACGGCGTTTGGTTGAAATCTGTGTATGGTATACTATCGTTTACACAAGCGGCAGTACAGTTCAAAGACATCGCGTTCTACTGAACAGCCAGTAAAGAAGGTGTACTTTACAAGGGACATGTTCAAAAGTGGAGACACTTACATGTTCTTTGCAGGTTTTCAACCGTGGGATGTTGTTGACCCCCAAATCAATTTTTCATTCATGTGGGGGATTGTTGGAATTTTTGGCATTTTTAATAGGCATTAAATGGACCAACTCGGGTATATTTGTCAATAGGTCCATTAACGATTTTAACCGTTAATTAATGGACGTGTTTTATCTTAAATGAGATAAATGTTTTGACAAATATTACGCCAAAAATGGTAGAGGGTGAATGAGAAATTGATTCTCAGAGTTAACCCGTTAATAAAAGAGTATGGTGAGGATTGCAATTTTTGCAATTTTACTGAACCAATCTTCTTTTATTAATTTTACGTATTGTTTAAAATTAGTCCATTTTTACGGAGTTAACTGGCCATTAATCTCCAATTATTCGGGACAAATTTTAAACGGAGCGTAGCGTAACGGACGTGTTAATGGCTAATTAATCACCATTAACACATCACAAATGCCATGTTTAATACTAAGCCTTAATGGTGTGTAGGTTACACCTTTTAAAATAGCTTAGTTATAAAGGTAAAAGGCTCTCTCCATTTTGTTTTGTGTGCTTCACGTGAGAAACAAAGGGAAAAGAAAGGAAATCTTTCTTGTTTATTTTTGAGAGAGCTCTTGATTTTCCGGCCAAATTTCCGGTCATCCCCTTTAAAGTTTTGGTTGCCAACGTTCCTACGTTGTTCTTGTTCGTTGGTGTGTGGTTGGTCCGTACAATCTCCACACACGATAGCGGTTTTATCCTGGGAGGAGAGTGCCCACGTTTTTCCGGTACGGTAGGCGGGCACTACTACCTTAAGGACAGCTCCGGCGACTCCGCTGTCCTTCGCGGTGTTTTGTTTTGCAGGTTTAGTTCATAAAGACCTCGCTGCATTCTGCCCTAGTGCATAATGTCTTCGCAGCCCAGTGCATAATGTCCTTGCTGTCTAGTGCATAATGTCCTCGATGTCCAGTGCTTAATGTCCTCATACAACAAGGCTGTTTGAAGATATATAAATTTATTTTCAATTCTGTTTATCTTGTAATATTCTGAATAAAATATAAATTCAAAATTTTATTTATTTTTATTTTCTGAGGCCGTTCATCTTCCCCGTCCGTTGTAATCCGTACAAGAATTGTAACAGTGTTAAGGATAGCTAGATAATTTCAACCCACAATCAACCTTTTTTTAAAAATTAACAAAAATCAAAATGGAAATCTCATTTATGAACAGAAAGAGTACATATTAGGAACAAATTCCACTTTCTTATTGAGATCATACAGTTTAAAATGGAAAACTTTGATCCCAAATTAAATTAAAATTATGCTCCCTTTGTCATAATTTAGAGGATGTTTTTATATACCAATGCTTATTGGCTTAGAAAAATTTCCTCTACATAGAACTAAAAGGTAGCATGTTAGAAAGATAGGACATGTCATATTGGCTTATTGCCGACAAGTAGTTTTTAGACTATAAGCTTCGTGTAAGTTAAATATTTCTTCTTGAAAATAAAGTGACTTAAATGATAGATAAGTTATTTAGAAATATTTAGGAGTGATGATTGATAGTTTTGTAAATAATTTAGTCAAGAAAGAGAAACGAAAAACTGGCTTAAAGATCATTAGTAAATAAAACTTACTTATTTATTTAACCTATAAGCAATTTATAAGTTAGCTTATAAATGCAAAATATACGTCATCAAGTGACTTATAAATTAAAAATAACTTATACGCAATTTTTACCAGCTTATAAGCACAATGAAACAATTTTACCCCCACATGATAGTTCACACTTAGTTCGAAACAAAATTAAAAAAAAATAGAAATTATATGCTTGAAACGATCTAGAGGAAAGATAGTGAAGGTGTTTCTCTGTATTGCTGCTTATTGACTTATTATTGATAAGTAGTGTTTAACTTATTACTCCATCCGTCCTAAAATCATCTTCTCGTTTGTGTTTACGATGTTTGACCGACTTTATTTTAAATTTAATTTATTTGATTGTAGGTTTAAAATTAAAAAATAAAATTTACCTATTTAAAAACTATATTAAACGTTCTACACAACGAGAGGTGATAAGACTATATTATTTTTATCAAATAAGTAGCAAAGATAGGGATAGATAAAAAAAAAGTGATTTAAGTTTGACCATGTGAATAGTAACTGGGAAGATAGTTTTAGGACGGAGGAAGTAGTTGTTTATATGTCTGATATTTTTCATAGAAGTAAAATGACTTAAACAATAAATAAGTCATTTATAAATATTCATACATAGTGAGTGACAATATGAGCCACAAAATGTATTTCAAAAGTAAAAGATTACTATTTTCTAGAATGTTCCAAAAAAGAAATGAAGATTATTAATTTACAACAAAGAGAATACTAAATACTCTCTCCTTCAAAATTCATTTACAGTGTTCAAGCAATCTGCGAAATCTTATTCTTTTTTAAAAGATAATTTTATCTTATTAATTTAAAACACGTCATCAGCTGACTTACATGTTAAAAATAGCTTATAAAAAGCTTTGACCAACTTATAAGCACATAGAAACACTAACTTTATAGTTCACACTTAGTTCGACACTAAATTCTAAAAAATAGTTGTATGATTGAAATGATGGAGAGGAGAGATAATGATGGTGGTTCTCTGTATTGGTGTTTATTGGTTTATACCTATTTGAGAATAGTATTAGAAATTAGGTAACGATGCCCGCAGATAGCTAATGATGCATATTATTGGGAAAACGATAATGCTAATAATGCTTGTAAATACTTTTTCAGAACACTAGCACGATTCCCAAACAGTCCCTCAGTTTGATTTAAAAAAGTACCGAGTAAAAAATAGACTAACACATTCAAGAAATAAATAATTACAGCAATCCCTTAACAATTACCCGTACAAATAATTAACTCAGCCGTTACGAAAATAGTCTCTAGTCCGTAATTATATTCTATAAATAGGCTCTGTTCTTCACCCTCTCTTAAAGGTTCTAACAAAAGTTTCAGGATCTTTCTCCTCCTCCTCTGCCCCCCTTTTTCTTCCGTTATTCACCTTTCAAACATGAATTCCGGCGGAGGAAAGCCGCCGACGATCAAGATCCTATACAGTTATCTCGGCAGAATTGTGGCCGGCCGTCCGGACGGCAAGCTCCGGTACGTCGGCGGCTACACTCGCGTGCTTTCCGTTGATCGGTCAATTTCCTACGCGGAGCTGATGCTGAAATTCGCCGAGGCCTGCGGCGAGTCCATGAACTTGAAGTGCAAGCTTCCGGCGGAGGATTTGGATGTTCTGGTGTCGATCTCCGGCGACGAGGAGCTCGCGGCCGTGATCGAGGAGTACGATCGCGTCTCCGCGGCGGAGAATCGGGAGATGAAGGTCCGCGCCGTGCTTTCTCCGGTCAAGTCTCCCAAAAAGGCCTCTCCTCCGTCTTCTCCCATGTCCTGCTTCGATTTCCCGGCCAAGTCGCGGCTGAATCAGGTAAAAATCTCCGGTCACTGCTCGCATCCGCCGTACAAGCCGTCCTCGCTTCTCCGGTGCTCCCCGCCGGTTGTAGGATATCCAATCGCCGCCGAGAAGCTCCACCACTGCCGTGGAGCACCAAACCCTAGCAGGCTTCAGAACGTCTGTTTTGCTAACCGCAGAAACTGCAGCCATTAAGATCGGCGAACACCGCGGCGATTCCGGCGAATCAAACTATACAAAAAAATTGCAGAAAATTATAGAAAATCTAAATTAAAAAAATTAACAAAAAAAAAGAAACTCTGCGGATTTGGACTGTGTATCGAATGAAGTTTATTAAATTTCTTCTTTCGATGGATTTGTAGGATTGAATCGCCATTCTATAAATTCGAATCGTGCTTTCGCCGTGTTTGATGATGAATCTGTGGAACTCGCCGTTAAGGTTCCGTTTAATCGCCGTCCGTAATTCCCGTCGCGTTTGGCGGCGTAACGTATAAACCCGGCCTGCTGGGCTTGCTTTGAGTTTATTAGGTGAGCCCACCCCCACGTAAGATCCTTATCTTTTTTGAGATGACATACATACATTATTTATTTATTTATTCATATTTATTTATTTATAGTTTTTTTTTTAATAATAAGAGATGGTTCAAAATTATCTGTTTTTTTTTTCGGTTTATGGCATTTGCAGGTTATCATATGGTGGGAAGCATTATGGACCACGCAACATGGACGCATATTAATGTGGAGCGGAATTAATTATCATAACATAAAATTAATTTAAAATTAAATGGACATACAAACTTGTTGAATTTAAAATTTGGACAAAAAAAATGGGACAACTATTCCTTGAGTGTTTGGTGACCAAAAGATAAAGACTTTTTGAAATTTTCGGACTTCGTAACTCTTTTTTTATATTTGACGAACATTGAGTAGATTTCAGATTTTGATATCACGAAATATCACACATCTTTGAAAGAGAAGGTTTTGAATTTTTGATAACTCCTCAACCATCCCCCACCACTGGCTATCATAGTAACTGCCAATTACTCTTGTTGTTGATCACTTTCACCTATCATGAGTTTGTGGTGTCATGTTTATGAATTGGTCAAAGCTGTTTATAAATTATTTTTATTTACAAGTGAGCTAACGACATTTTCTCTGCACTTATGAGCTGACTTATAAATTATACATAAATCAGAAAAAATAAGTAGGTTTTTTCCTACTTATGTTTAAGTTAGTTTTTTCGTTTCTTTGTTTTGATCGTATTATTTCCAAAAATGTTCCTCACCATTTGTGGATATTTTCAAATGACTAATCTATCATTTAAATCATTTTACTTTTACAAAAAAATATTTGACTTATAAGTAAATTATAAGCACAAAATTGCTTATCGGAAATAATTTAATAAGCACCAATAAACACTTATTAAATCATGATTTCAAATCACTTTAAATAACTCTATTTTTGAATTTAGAAATCATATCATTTCTTTAAAACTTCAGAACTCATATCATACCTTCAAAATTTACTAAATAGGTCCTAAGTTAGTAAGACTTAGTCAATTTAGAGCTTATAAATTCACAAATAAACATTTATTGACAATATTACAAGAGCCAGAAGTAAACTATTATAGTCACAAATTAGAAATTATCACACACTCACACACTATATATATATATATATATATATATATATATATATATATATATATATATATATATATATATATATATGTTGTTAGAATGTAAAGACACTCTTGGTAGATGTCTATAAAGATAGAGAAAACTTAAGTAAGCTAAAGGTGTTTCTAAAGAATGCGTCATAGGAGAAGATAAACGGTTACTAGGCATTCGATGGAAAAAAATACACCTAACGACAAAAGAGTAAACACACGCGCAATTTGGAATTACGATAAAAAAGAAAACACGTGTACATGTTGGAAGAAGAGATGCAATGAATATAAAGAATTTTGGCATATTCGTCATGAAATCATGTGTGGATACAGAGAAACGACAAGACAGCAAATAACCGCATAACGAACTCTCATTACAGGTAAAGTACAATACAAAGAAAGCCTTGATAGATGTTTCTGAAAAACATAATCAAAAGAAGAAATCTTATGAAGAATACCAAAGTGTAAATTGATATATAATAAAAATATAATGTCTCGAAAGATGTGTAATAGAATGTGTTGAATTATCCAGTTTACGATAAAAAAATAAACATGCATTTGTTTTGGTTGGTGGAACATGTTGGATAACGATAATTTTGACATGCAAGGAACACGTTAGAGGAGAAGATAAAAAGGGTTAGTAGGCATTCGATGGAAAAATTACACTTAACGACAAAAGAGTAAACAGGTGCACAATTTGGAATTACGATAAAAAGTGAACATGTCTACATTTTAGATAGAGGGATGCAAGGAATATAAACAATTATGGCATATTCATTATGAAATCATGTGTGGGTATAGAGAAACGACAAGACCGCAAATAGGTGCATAACGAACTCGCATTACAGGTAAAGTACAATACAAGTAAACGTTTGATAGATATTTATGAAAAGCCTAATCAAAAGAAGAAAGCTCATAAAGAATCTCAGAGGGTAAATTGATGATGAAAATACAATGTCTCGAAAGATGTGTAATAAAATGTGTTGAATAGTCGAGTATGCGATAGAAAGGTAAGCAGTCATTCGCTTTGGTTCGTGGAACAGGTTGGATAACAGTAAATTTGGCATGCAAAGAACACGTCAGAGGAGAAGATAAAAAGGGTTACCAGGCATTATTCGATGATAGTAATACACTTTACGACAAAAAAGTAAATGTACATACATTTTGGATTTACGATAAAAGTGAACACGTGTACATTTTGGATGGAGGGATGCGAGGAATAAATAATTATGCCATATTCATCATCAAATCATGTGCCGATATAGAGAAACGGCAATATATATGCAAGCAGTCGCATAACTCGCATTGCAGGTAAAGTACGATACAAAGGAACACTTGATAGATGTTTACAAAAAGAGTGCCTCTTTTGTGCATCTTAGGTGCATATCAATTTTGTGGACCATCTCACATAAAAAAAATCTTTTTTTATATTTTTTATTTAAAAAATAAATACTTATTTAAGTAGTAAATAAATATGTATTTTGCTCATATGTAGGTCCATGGTGGATCTTATGTCCACCATAAAACTTGACTTATGAAAAACCTAATCAAAAGAAGAAAGCTTATAAAGAACATCACAATGTAAATTGATTGTAAAAATATAATGTTTCGAAAGAGGAGTAATATAATGTGTTGAATAATCTAGTATACGATAAAAAGGTAAACATGCATTCGTTTTGGTTAGTGGAATAGGTTGGATAGTAGTAATGTCGGCATGCAAGGAACATGTCAGAGCAGTAGATAAAAAGGGTTACCAGGTATTCGATGATAACAATACACTTTACGACAAAAAAGTGAACACATGTACATTTTGGATGGAGAGATGTGATGAATACAGACAATTATGGTATATTTATCGTGAAACCATGTGTAGATGGAGAGGAACGACAAGACGTAAATAGTTGTACAACTAGCGTTACAGGCAATGTACAATACAAAGATACATTTGATAAATATTTATGAGAAAAAGATAAAAAATCTAATCAAAAGAAGAAAGTTTATTAATAGGAAACATGAAATTATTATTATTATTTTGCTTTCTTTATTTTATTATTGCCATAAGTGTTATTCTACTCGTAAGGATGTAGAATATAAAATATTTTTTGGACCTATATAATCATACACTTGAACTTTTTGATGAGTATCACAAATTCAAACTTCATCATCACCTAATATAAAAAAATTACAATAGTTCTTGTCATATAATGACATTATGAGACATATGTGTTGTTGTCAAATGAAGAGCGTCGTAAAAATATGATGTGCAAGATTCGAGCGAAAACAATTTCTAAATTATTGAAGAGCGTCTTAAAAATATTACGTGCAAGATTCGAGCGAAAACAATTTCTAAATTATTGAAGTGGATAAGTAGCTAGAGCACATAAGTGGGCTTACATGGAATGACATACGCATGCTTCAACGGAAAGAATGGTGTGGGCCTATGAAGGCGTGGCCAATTTAATTCTCTTTTAATTTCTTATTTCCTCCCTTTCCTATTTATGTTGTTCTATAATTGATCAAGCACAAAATTTAAAGAAAAATAAAATTGTATGCTTAAAAATATTATATAAAATTGAAAAAATAATGTACGTAAGATATAAAAAAATATTATATCCATATCTAAGTATTTGTCCAATTTTAACTTTTTCTAATAAACTGTTTTCAACCGTTGACCTATAATTAAACAAAATATATATTGTATATTTATTTGATATAATAATATATTTGAAAATATTTGATATAATAAATCAAATTGAACTACTTTTGTATCAATATGTAATATCATTTTTATTTAGTTTGATGTCAAAGTTTACCAATTTTGATAAAAAAAATTAAAAATGGACCAATATCCGGGGACAGAAAATATTCAATATGAAAAGAATGGACCATATTGTCACATTTAGATAATTAAAAAATTATAAAAGTATTGTGAAACATTAATACGAGACTATTGAGTGAATGAATTGATAATAAAAAAATGTGACCCATAAACGTTTTGGAGTCTTTGTCACGTGAAATGGCAATGGACTATATAGCATAAGACCCCGGCCGCATGCATTGTTTTGTCGTTCCTATGTGATGTGGATTTTGTTAGGAAAACAAAAATTTAGATTTCAATTTTAGATTTGGCTTAAATTTCATATTTGAGGATTATGATTTGGCGATTTAGTCCTAGTCAGTGCAAATTTTACTTTAAAAAATAAAAATTTGAATTTGGGTAAATTTTTTGTAACACATCGCAAAGTTGGATTCCAAATAGATGCATTTGAAATTCAAGAAATCAAATTTTAGAATAAAAATGTAATTGCAGCTAATGCTATTTTATTAGATTCATCTTGTAAGATATTTTTAAAATATTGTTTTATCTAATAATTTTTATTTAATTATAAATCAAAAGTTAATCCTGATTGAGTGTAAAAGTCAAAATAAAAAAGAAACCTTAAAATAGACGTCAAGGAGTTACTATTTTTTTCGAGACCATTGAGGTAATTTTCATGATATACCTCCTACAATTCACCCAACATTGGAATTAGAGGGAGTTAGACTCTTAATATCGGTGTACAATTCTCTTTCTGATGTCTTTCAGGTAAAATGGTAGAGTGGTTCTATGATAGACCTAACATTCAAATGGGTCTTCTCACATATTTTTTTATCTTTTAAAATGTTTGGCTTAACACTTAAAGAGTTCTCATCTAGCGTATATAAAGATCTATCATATGCACCTTGGATCTTAGGTCCATGCAAGAATTTGCCAAAATTGGTATACACAATATAAAGACATAAGACTTTGTCATGGACTCATAGGTTGGTTGTTGGTATAAGAAACAAGTTGTATTTAGCGTCCGATGCAACCCCATGGTGCACCAGTAAACGAGTAACTCTTAAGATTATTTTTTGAAAATTTCGTGACCATTAAACCACATTTTGCTATTTACGTCCTCCGTCGAACTTTAGAACCGGATAAAATTGCATCGTGTAGGAATTCGATTGTTGTTGGCTAGAAAACAAAGTTGATCTTGTCGTAAACACCACCAAACTAGTAACTTTTGCATATTTTTGCTCCATCCAATCTTGAAACTGGAATCGATACCCACATTGATATTAAAAATTTTGTATCGAATGAATCTTAGGTACACGATAGAAACAAGTCAGGAAGTTGTAGGACCCTCAAGATTGGTGTGCAATCCTTTTAAATCCTCCAAATTGCCAACTCTTTTGCCCTTTCTCTTGCCATGTGCAGCCCACATGGCTGGCTTTCTCTTTAGTCTCATTCCACTTATGGGAGTACCATATTTATATTCCTTTACCCAAACAGCTCCTTAACAATAACTCGCCCCCCAAAAACCCCTCTCAGAGGATTCCAATGGCGGATCTCAAATTCTCCGACTCCGCATTCCTCCTGCTCTTCATCTCCTTCTCGATCGTCCTCACCTCCGTCGTCTCCGGAAAATCCGGCGCCGCCGCGGTTCTCCTCCTCGCCTGCGGCGCCGCGGTCCTGCTCGTTCTCGTCCTCCGCACCACCGTCGTGGCCTGGATCACCGTCATCGTGATGCTGGCGTTCGTCGGGAAACGCCGGCGCGTCCTCGCCGAGGACGGCGCCAGGATCACTTCCGACGTCGCGCTGTACTTGGCCAAGGTCGCTTTCCGAGAAAGAGGCGGCGGCGCTCTTGCCTTCATCTGCGCTACCACCGCCGCCGCCGCGCTCGGCCTAACGGCTTCGGTTTGGAATGGGAAATCGTACTATTAACCAATATGAGTCCAATTTGAGTTTTGGATAATTTTTTTAAAAATTGCACAATTTTTTTTTTCTTTCCAAAACTTCAAAATTAAACTCTAATGTTTGAAGCCAAACGCGCCTCAAATTAAGGGTGAAGTGGTAGAAGATCTAAGAACAATTTGTACTCCAAAATGTGTTTAGCCTTTTGAGCTTTTGATAAGCTTTTTGGGGTTTTTATGTTTTTAATATGGAGTATTAATTTGTGTATGTAATGTGTGTACTTTTGCATGGTGTGTAGCTATTGTAAATTGTGTCTTACAAGTTACAACCTTTTTTAGTGAATGAAAAAAAAAATCTTTGTTGAACAAATTTGTACGTCCTCCGTTCTATATTTTTCTTCTTAGAGAACTATTCTAACTTTACGGAAATTTTTATTTATTTACATTTTTCATGGTCTATATGATAACATAAAATATTCTTGTTAGAACTTATTTTATTGAATTTTTTATGTAGTTTTTAAATATGTAAATTTTATTTTTTATTTTTGTACCAATATTTAAATAAAATAGATTGAAAAAATTTAAGATTTTTCTTCGTCTTCGTTTTGCACAACGAGGAGAAAGATATGAGACACGGGGAGCATAAAGATACTCCCTCCGTCCCTAAATGGATTACAATTTTTTTTCTCTCTCTTCTCGATAACTTTTGTTTGTTCACGTGATTTCATTAAGTATTTGATAAAATAAAATATTCTTGTCACCTCTTGTTTTATAAAACTTTTCACGTAGTTTTTTAATATGTAATTTTTATATTTTATTGATATACCAATTTGTAAATAAAATGATTTCAAAAAGTAAGAAATTTTACTCTGTAACCCGCAATTTGTAATCATATGGGGGACTTAGGGAGTATAATTCATGGTGTCAAATTTGATGCATCTTAGAATGTTTCTTAAAACAATCACTTCACCTTACCTTGTTAAGGTCATGTTTGGCACATAACTTTTTGGAGAATATGTTTTTCCTTAATATAAGGTCATGAGTTAGAGGCTATATGTCAAATTTATTTTAATATGATTTTATTTATAAATTATTATAAACATTAAAAATATTAAGTATAATTTTCATATTTAAAAATAACATCAAAAGTTTTATAATATAAAATAAGCAATGATAAAAATGTTTTATTTTATCAAATGATCAATAAAAATCACAAGCAAACAAAAGTTACCAATAGTTTAAAATAGTAATAGAAATTTTTTATTTGGATAAAAGGAGTAGAATATAATGGGTGAAGTTGTGAATTTTTTGATTACTTAAAATATATATAAAAAACAGAAAAAAGTGGTCAAAATCAACTACTTTTAGTATTAATTTCTGATGTTTATAACTTTTTCTTTTTCCAGCAAATTTGGGCAATCGTGTATGCATATCAATAATAGATCTTTTTTCATGAGTTTCTATGTGACCAAATTATGGAGTACGTGGAGTACAATTTTTTCTTAAAACGTTTTTATTCATCCTTAAATAAAATAAAACAACTAAGTCACCACTTGTTTTCCAACAATTTTTTTGTTACATTTTTAAATTTTACATCAAATTTAAGTATAGAAAATATTAAAAATAAATTTATTCAAATATATTGGAGTAAATTAAAACGAGATTTTTATTTTAAAACGAATTAAAGTAATAGACGACTAATTTATGAGACTACCCATGGGCCAACACTACTAATGGACTAATGGTTGCCATGCCATTATATATCTCACTCTTGACACTCAAAAACAGCTCATCACTCACTCAGCCATGGCCTTCAATCTTGGACTTGTGTAGTTGTGTTTCTCGTCCAATATAATGGTATTTCCTCTAATCATTCTCTTAAAGGGAACTTCGGTGAATTTTGAAAATATGATTTAATATGAATTTTTAAATTTGGGAGAGATGAAATGAGTTTTGATATTAAATCTGAAATAAAGTTTGAAAGATTTAAAATTATAATCTAATTTAATTAGTGATTAGTGTTAAATATGTTAATATTATATTTAATATTATTGTATATTGGTAGCTACCATATTTGTATAGGGTGCATTAATTACAGTTTCCTTTTGTCATTAGGAAATTCCTGTATATAAACACATGTAATCTCCCATAATATTCTATTGGAAAATATTCCTTCTACATGGTATCAGAGCCCTAATTGGCTTCTGTCTTCTCCCTTTCTCTCTCACAATCGGAAATCCCTTCCCCCATCCCTACTGCCAATCGGCTTCTTCCCTAGGCAACCATGGCCGACAAAAATCCTTCCTCCGGCAAGGCTATTTCAACCTCCGACACCTCTTCCTCCAACAACTCTCCTCACCTCGCCTTCACAACTATATCAAATATCAAACTTCACATCCCCGTACAATTGAGTTTGTCGGAGCCAAATTACAAAAAGTGGAGTCGCTTGTTTCGTCTCTTGATTCTCCGCTTCAATCTCAAAGGCTTCATCGACGGCACCACCATCGCCTCTTCTGCAGATGACGCCGAATGGTACCAATTTGATGCACTCATTCAAGGGTGGATCCTCTCCACCATTACGGATGAGGTTTCTGATCTCGTTCTCGCCAACAATCTCTCCGCTCATGCACTATGGAAGGCCATCTACAATCTCTTCCACGACAACAAGCACGCCCGGGCGATGCAACTGGAACATCGCTTCCGCACCACCGTCAAGGGCAACCTATCTATCAACGAATATTGTCGTCTTCTCAAGAACCTCTCCGAATACCTTGATGATGTTGACGCTCCGGTGACCGAGCATGCACTCGTTCTACAGGTTCTCCAGGGACTTCCACATGACATCCGTGGCCAAGTCCAATTTCTCCAGTACTAGAATCCTCTCCCCACCTTTCTGGAAGTTCGGTCTGCCCTCCTCCTCGTCGAACAGCAGCAATCTGACTCTATCCACGGCGCCGGCGCGCCGCCTACTGCCTTCCTTAGCACCGGCAGTGGCGGCGGCTTTGGGGGTGGCGCACAGCGGCAAGACAAGGCGGACGGACGTGGTGGCTACGGCGGATACGGCAGGGCTCCTGGCGGCGGCAGTGGTGGCAGCGGCAATCGCGGCAGGGGCCGAGGTCGAGGGCGTGGCGGCGGCGGATCACAACGGCAACCCTCGGGCCAAGCTTCCTGGCAGTTCCCCTCTCCCCAACCCGGTTTACTTGGGCCACGGCCCACCTACCCAACAGCCCAAGCCCATTACACCCACAGCCCAAATTCCCAATTCCCCACTTACCCAAATCATTCCCCCTTTCCCTACACCCAGAGCCCAATCCCTTATTCCCCA